GAGCCTGCAGCCTGTCCTGTGGAGCACTGCTGCCTGGTCACTGCTTTCCACCTCCCTTTTCATCCCCATCTGTTGTCTTACAGCTCCTTGCAGGGCCTCTGGAGTAGAGACCCTCTTCTTGCACTGTGCTGCGTGGGCTCAGTGGGTGCTTTGCTGAGGCCAAGGCCATGCTGGGGACTCTGACTGTTACAGCAGTAACTGTGGGCACAGTCATGAGGAGGATGCTCTGAGCTTTGTTGTAGCCTGAGAATGGTTCTTTAGAAACACCTGTGTTAGCAGCAGCAGTTATTCAGTGGTGAGGTTTATAAACAAGGTCTGGAGTAAATAACGTGATGGTTTAATGATGTCTGAAGGCAGCTCCTGAACACCACCTTGGAGAAGTGCTTACAAATGACTGTCACTGCTCTGCACTTTGCTCTAGGGCTGGAGGTACAGGCATGGGGATGGACAGATGCCTTTCTCAGCCTGACAGAGACTCAGCACATCTTGTAGGTGAAGCCGTCAGCTTCCCAAGAGCGAAACAGCTCAGAGCAGCGCTCCTGACTCTGATCTAGAGGTAGCTCTGGGAGACGCAGCAAAAAGACATGGTAGGGAGGCTGGATCAGGCTGTAGGTGACTTCTCCAGCTTTCCAGAGATCTCAGTCTGGTGAGGTGACTTGCTTCTCCAGCAGTGAAGTGGTGACAGACCTCTGCACGCTGCTTGAAGAACAAGGATATGCCAGCAGTGTAGGCAGCTGGCTATGATAGTAGCAGGAACAAAAGAATTACTTATCATAGGTCGATATGGGGGTACAGTAACATCCTTTTGAGTGAAGAGCTCTGCTTTCATTGCTTGCTTGTATTTTTGGTGAAAAAGCAGCAGGACCTGTCTGTCTCCAGCTGCGTTATGGAATAGATAAGAGCAAGGCACTGTCTTCGGACAAACCGGGAAAATGAAATTACACTTGCTTTCCATGCTACCTAAATATTCCAAATTTGACTGTCACTCACTCCTGAAAAGATCTGAAATCTGAATTCAGCAGAGAAGGAGAAACAGGGATAGAGGAAGAATATGTCTTGGTGAAGACGAAATGCATCAGACTGCTGTTTTGTTTCTGTTCACTCTAATCAATCTGGCTACCAGCTTCCTAATGTTTAGAGCAGTAATCAGTGAAGGGAAGTACCAGCTGTTGAATACTAGGAAAGCATTCTTCATAAAACCTGAAATTTGTTTTTAAATCTTGTTCAAGGGTTTGCTCATCCATTCACTGAGCTATACCTTCAGGCCTAACAAAATCTCTTTCTGTTTAAGAACAGTTTGTACTGCTCTTATAATTATTCTCTCTTGCACCAGGATGAACATGTAGTATTAGAAGAATTCAGGAAGATGGTTTAGCTCTTCTGTAAATTCTCTCTTTGTCTGTTTTCCTGCACAACAGGAGCCCCACAGAGGATGACGCAATGCTAGATTTCTAACTTCAAGATAGTGAAGAGCTACCATGGTGTGCTCAGATACCTGTGTCCATAATCACGCAGATGGATGCTGGGATAAAACACAGTGGTGTTGTGGTGTTTCTGCTGTGTCAGAGCACCGCTCAGATGTGCACAACCCAAAGCATCTGCTCTATTGCTCTATAAAAAGCCTACCTTTTAGTTTCAAGTTCAGGCACTGCTTTGTTCACGTTGCAGAGAGAAAGCTGTGTCCTGCCACCTGTAGGAAATGCATCAAAACCATGTAAGAATGAGAGAGTTGACAGCCTGTAATAGCATTGTGTAAATAATGACAAGGCAGACACATCTAGATTCAGTAAATGCGCTTTCATGGCAGCCAAGCGTCCCAAACCACACGCCATGGACATTACCATGTCAAGTGAAATACTTAGCGGTACGTCACTGTTACAGTACAGAGGGTTTTTTTAAAACCTTACATATTAAACAGCCAAGAGTCTTAAATGAAATGTCACATCTAATTTGACACCCAGGACAAGAAGCCTGCAGCCATCCATGGCCGACCCTGGCAGGTCTGTTCTCCATGTCAGCTCATCAGCCTGGCAGACAGATCCATGGCTTCCTCCTGACTCGTGGCAGCTGTGCGCACTCTCCTGGACCCGGCAATTTGTGGGTGTCTGTATACAGCATGATGCCAAATGCTCTTGGTGGTAGAAGGTGCTCCGGAAAACCCTCCAGCCTTCAGAAGAGTCCTCGGTGCCTGCAGCCAGGAGAGCAGGGTGGCTACTTCTCCAGCTCCTCCCCGGGAGAGCAGCAACAGGGGATGTTGAGCAAATTGTGTAGAAACAGGCATTATGTATGCTTTCTCCCTCATGGGCTCTAGAGTTAGCATTTTTTTGTGCAGGAGGCTTTATTCTCATCTCTGTTAAATAGCTTCTGATGGCCTTATCTTCTAAGAATTTGTCCAGTTCTCTCTGGATTTACAGCTGATAGCCTCTACAGCCTACTGTGGCTGTGTGTTCCAAAGGAAGGAATACTCCCTGGAAAAGTACTACCACTTTTGTGTAATTTCTGACTAATAACATTATTTCAGGCCTTCAGGTTCCTGTTTTGTGACAAATAGTGACAAATTTTTCCTTATTCACATTTTCCAGGCCATTCACACTTTTAGAAACCTCTCCATCTATCTCCCATGTGATTTCTAGGATGAGGAGTCCTAGTCAATCTTCTTATAAAAGCTGCTTCATACTCTTAATTGTTTTTCTGCCCTTCTCTATTTAGCTTCTCATATTTCAGCTTGTTTCTTTGAGATCAGAACTATACCCAGTATTTCAAGATGCACGTGGCCTTGGGTTTAGACAGTGAGATGATGATATTTTTCATGGTGTTTACTTTGCAGTAGTTTGTCATCTTGATCATTGTAGAGCACTGGCTCGTATTTCCATAAACCCAAGCTCGAGGCACTGTGCGTGTCTCCCATTTCTTGGGTCCTGGCTCCTTTGCTTGCCAATATATGCCAAGGATTCAGTGGAGAGAGAGGCAATGCTTATAAAGCATACCCGCCTCTGTAACCCTCCTGAACATCAGTTATTTCTGTATGCCAAGTTGTCCATTATAGAAAGCAGATTGTCCAGTCATTGTAAACATTGCTGCTGTCCTCGCAACATAACTCATCTGGCCATAAATCCCTACCACTCCAGACTCCCTTAAGAGCAGAGAAATTGAGGCTATCAGTCATGAATGCTGGATTCTCCATGTGTGGAGATGAGTGAATGACTCTAGAGATCTACTGTTTTAAGGGTGAGTCTTGCTTCATTCCCCAGTGCCCCCCCTAGAAGAGGGGGCTCTTGCTATTTTTTTTTTTTTTTTTTTTTTCCCCTGGAACAGATGTGATTCTGCTGTGTTGTGTCTGGTTTAGGATTTCAGGAGTGCACCCAGCACAAATCCAATGCTCTCCCTGTGTTGTTGCACGGTAGCCCTTTAAAGGAAGGTGTGTTGGCTGGCTGCGTGCTGTGACCTGTGCAGTGAGGAGGGGGCGCTCTGCCTTTGCAGAGGGATGCTCTCCAGGCTTATGGCCGGGTTGCTGCACTTGTCTGTAGGGACTGGCTCTGAGGCTTTAAGCACCACTCCACGGAAATGCCGTTTCTAGAGAGCATGTCTGATGTTTGCTGTTTGCATCTCACCTGGGAAACACTTGGCCTGCAAGAGGAGGAGTGGGCTTGGTACTCAGATTTGAGCTCAGTTACTTGGCTGGGAAGAAGGAAGGTTTGAAAGCTCTGGAAATGAGGGAGCCTTTGGTGGGAGTCTGCTTGGGAGGGTGACGTGCTGGCAGGTACTCTAGCAAGGTCCCAGTCGTTAGTTGATGGGCACAGCCAGGGACACTCCCCTTGACTTGCAGAAACACAACTCCACAATCCCTAAGGTTATAAAGTCGGTATGTTTATTCAGCACTGAGGCACGCATGGATCGTTCCACCACGAACACGTGCACCTCTCGTGACACTTTGTCTTGGCTTTATGCTGCAAAGCATCACATATTCATAATACGCCTATACATATGCGTGACCTATCCCCGCTTATTATAATGAGCCTTAGAGTCTTTTTCATATGTTCCGCCCCAGTCTCCTCCTAGTTGCATCTGCACAGTGTGTCCCAGTGGTCATGGGCTGGGGTTGCAGAGATGAAGTTGCTCCTCTTCTTCGCTGTTGAACTTTTTACCTCGGTTTCTTGCGCAGTCTCTGTAGCCTCCTGGACTCAGGCCGGAGCATAGGGTTAGTTTTGACCAGTTTTTAGGGCTGTCTTCCTATTCCATCAGAAAGTGTTACCTCACAGCTTCCATTAATCAAGGTTTCCATGTTGTTCTGCTCTCTGGCCCATCAACTATGATTTATTATTCTATTTAATCTTAGTTATCTTTTAACTAATGGTCTTCTAGCCCCTAGCGTGATCTCTAAGTCTTTCATCTTTATCTCTAAACTAAGTTATACCTTCATTTCTTGAGTGCCTAATTTCTATATCATATTTTAATTTCCTAGCTCCTCATCTCATCCTCTTCAGTTGGGTCTGAGGTGGAAAGCAAAGGTGCCCTCACTCTGGTCGTTGAATGGCTTGGGAAGACGCAGTCTAGAATAGCAGACTCGGGCATAAGCAACAGGGTCCCGGCTGAGGAAATGGGCTTGCAGGACTGTAATGGGCAGGATGGGGTGGGCTGTGCCCCACCAGCCTTGTTTTGACACGTCTTCACAAACCCACAGCAAGTGAGGGCGCTGCTTCTGCAACACAGTGAAGGTCTCTTCTGTGTCCCATCCTGCCCTGGGCTGTCATTTGTTTCTCTGAACCTCCCTTTCCAGCCCGTGTACCCCCAGGCATCTTTGCTTGTCAGCAACAAGGGATTAGGAGAGACACAACACTGGGCAAGCCCTGACTGAGAATGACTTGGATGCAGAATTCCCTGTGACTTGAGTGGGATGGCAACCCAAAGGCCACCTGGGCCCACGTGTTACTGGTGGTTTGCTTTGTTCCTTGTACTTCCATCAGCGAGATGAGCAAAGACTCCCCTTTGCTTTTTTCCAGGTGAAGATATTCACACAGGCCTTTATGGAGCGGCTGTAGATGTCAACATCGGGTTGGCCAGGAGCTCCCTAATAGTTGAGAAGACTTACCTCACGCTGTCAAACCACAGATCTGTGGTCATCCACAATTGGAGTGAAATCATAGTGCACTTCCAGTGGAAGACTTTTGTTACTCAGGAAGAGGAGGATCATCAGAAGCTGAGGTTTGTTTGAAAAGTTCATTTCAATAAAATAACACTGCCCAAGGGTAAAACTAATGTATGGCCTCAAGGGCTGTTGGTGCACTGAATGGTTTAGAACAAGTAAACCATCTACAGCTTCAGGTTACATGTCCCTGGGCTTTAGGGTAATGGAGCTCAGTGCCTCCCATTCCAGCTCCATCCATATTCCAGCTGAGAATGGCGTTTCGGGGAGGAAAGGTTGATTGCAGTGACTGGATTTCCTCAGAGAGCAAATTTTCATTTGTGGGAGCCCCAAACCACTGAGGTCCAGAGACCCCTGGGCTATGGAGGGTCCATGAGGCTGAGGAAAGTGTCAGCACTTGTTACCTGGGACTGCACTGAGTAGCAGCACTTAACATAGCTGCAGGTAGCATAACTGTTATGATATTCACTGCAGTTTCTTCCACTCCAGTTTTGATAAGGTGGCAGGCTCCTTCTCCAGTAATGTGCAGGGTAAAGGGCTTCGTTGGCCCAGCAAGTTGAGGCCATCCTGCTGTAGGATGTTGAATTGCCTTGGACTCCCCCAGTTTCCAGCATGATGAGGTATTTATACCCTTCCTCAGAGACTGGGGAGCATTTGGAGGTGAAGGGTTCTGCAGGGAAGGTAGAGCAGCACGGGACAGAGCGCGTTTGGGCTGCAGCAGCCTGTGTGTTCATGGTGCTGAGAGATGGGGCAGGTTCTTCCAGGGGTGTCTGTGGTGAAGCTTTGAAATTCCCATTTCAGGCAGCAGAGAAACACTTATAGCCCGGGGGAATGAACTGGAAATGATACTTAAAAGTTTGGGTGATTAAGGGAATCCTTGTGGGACTTTGCAGGCTTTCGTGGATGTAGGTGTATAGGAGTTAGCTCACAGCTGATCAGGAAACTGCCTTAAACTGGAGCACTCTTTAAGGTCTTCTGAGCCAATGAAGTTCAACATAATTAGGTCAGAAATGCCTTGAAGGCCAAAACTAGTTTTTCACTGTTCTCTATTTTTAATTACAGTGTGTGACTTCTGTGCAAGCTCGGTGTGTTAAAAGAAAAATCTCTGCCTTCTCTGGGCACTTGCCTGGACCATTCCTTTAAGTCTCCTCTCACCTGCCTGTCTCAGATCGGACCCTGAGTGATCCTCTTTCCCCTCAGAAGCAACCAGGTTTCCCCACAGTTCACTTCAACCTGATTCTTTTCCAATTACATTTGGTCTTGTGCCAGTTTGTGTCCTGAGTCTGACCAGGACTGTTTTTTCCTCCTCCTTGAAATCTTAGGGATGGTCATAGCTCCAAGGCCACTGTCCTGCTGTCAGAGAAACTTTTGAGATCTCGGAGCAGAGAGGACTTTTTCCATGAGAGGAGGCAGTGCAGGACTCTGCTCTGGGCTGTGACCACGAAAGACCTGGATCATTAGAAGGTGTATCCGTGGGTTTGCTCTGTCTCCCTCCTGCAGGACTTTCTTGGATGTAATGGTGGAATTATTGTCTGCTGATGGAGGTTGAGTTGGGGGTTGTTGTTTGGTGGCTGGAAGACCTGACTGACTGGCGCAGTGCTGTAGGTCAGCCATGGAGAAACATTTCCCACTGCACTCCGGGGGGAGAGAGCCAAAGCAAGTACTTTTGGTGCTGGTGCCAGCCTTTGCCCAAGGCTCACTGTGTACAGCTAGTAACATCCATGACCGTATTTCCTTTTGAACTGTATTTGAATTTAGCTGGGTGATGATTGCTATCCTGGTTATACTACATTCCTCTATCTGCTACACGTGGAGCCTTCCACTCATCCCTGCAGAGTTATCAGCTGCTGGTTCTTCATGGCCGGGGACAAGTGTGCAGAGGGGTCAACGATGTGCCAGCTAGGAAGTGACTGCTCTGTAGCAGTGCTCCCTTATCTCTTGGTTGTGATCTTTAAACTCTAGAATGATTTCTGCTACAGCTACCAAGTAAGGGAGAGATGAACCGCATCAAAGCCCTACAGAGATGGCCAAAAAGAAGAAAAATATAAAGTGGTTCAAGGCTAGACATAAGGGTTTGGATTCAGAGATGCTGGTCCAGAGTTCTTTAGTGGGTGATGCCAGGCAAAGTTCCTTCCCCTCTCAGGGCCTCTGTTTCCATGCACATATAGACATTTGGTTTCACCAAAGTGATGCGATGCCTGAATTCATTGGTTTGCTTTCACAGTGCTCTGGGATCCTCTGATGAGAAGTAATATAAGGCACAGAGAGCACATTTAGCTTGCTTATCCCTGCAGGTCCAAAGGGGAAGAAAAAAGGAGTGATGCCAGTAGCCTGCAGCTGAAACCCAGCTGCATCTCCCCCTGCCAGTGAAGCCCTGCAGTGGGTGCTCCTTCATCTTGATCTGGCTCCCCCAGGCAGCTCTGTGGTAGGAAAAGCCAGTTGGGGTGGTTGATGGATTCTCCATCAGTTGTGGCAGAGGCTTTGAGCCAGGAGGCTCTCGAGGGCTGCCGGCTTTCAGAAACCTCTTCTGGGCTTGTAAGCGTGGAGTAAAACTATGTGCTGTGCCAGCACCCAGCAAGCAATAACCTGACCCATGTGGGACCCCGCGGCTTGGGGTCAGCCCCTCGCTGAGCTGTTGCTGTTCCTCCCTGAGTGCTTTGCTGCCCCTGCACTCACACGAGTCTCTGCAAATATGTTGTTCATTAAATTATCTGCTTGGTTTGTCTCTCCCCGTGGCTGCAGGCTGCAGAGGTGGAAAGAGGGCAAGATGGATCATTGTCTGAGGGAGTGCAAGGTGGAACCTGCTCCCCGAGAACGCCTTCCCCTTCTTTCCCACCCCCTCCAGAACCACCAGGAAAAGGTGCAAGGAGACTCCATGCATTTTCCCAACGATGTGTTCACCCTTGAGCCACTGGTAAGTGATGGCTGAGAAGCTCCATTCCTTCTCCTCCCTGGCTGAGGTCACTTGGCAGGTCCCTGAATCAGCTGGCTTGATGTGCGGAGAGAAAATACCAGGTTTCTAGTGAGACTGTGAGAGCTTGTTGCAAAACGCATTTCTGTGAGCAACTGACAGAGCGAGAGGCTGCCTAAAGCTGAGCTCTACTGCAAGGGCAATAAATTAAGGGCACTTCGTGAGAGCTATCAATAATGATGAGTAAGGGCATGCTACCCATGTAGTGTGTGGGGATTAACAAAGGATATTGGAGCACTCTCAGTTCACATATTGACCTGAGGAATGAAATGGTCCTCTGTGGAAAGGAGGCCAAATTCAACTCAAATTTGATCACAGACATACCAATCTCTTCATATAACCTGGATGGATACCATGGCTGAATTTCCCTTCCAGTGTCATCTGTGAGCCTGGACAAAAGGCTGGCAAGTTTAAAAGGACTTTTTGAGTTTCGTTGTGCATAGGTACAGAAACTTTTCTGCTTTTTGTGTTTACGCAAGCAAATTCCCATATCCTTCAATCAACCAGAGCCCTGTTTCTGAGTATTTGCATGGTCTGAGATGAAAAATGCCCACTGTCTGGAGTAAATCCAAAATTCCTTTTCATCTTGGAGTAAATCCTAGGATAATCTCAACCTCTTCTTCCTTTTAAAACAGGTGAAACTAATTTTTTTTTTTCCTTTTCACAGAAGGGGATCATCTCAGTTACTCCTATATCACATATACGGCTGAGAGCCACCAATGTTGTCACAGCTTCAGTTTCACACCACTGTAGCTGACAGCAGCATGATGTGACCAAGAGATTGTGTCACAGTGGTGGGAATATTGTAGAGAGAGGGAGCTGATCGCTGAGCACCCTGTGGTGTGTCAGAGCTGGTTCTTGAGTGTGTCCCAGGACTCCTGCTGCTTTACAGTCAGACTGTGTCTCCATGAGTAGCTTAACCTGATCTTGAGCTCCTGAATGTGTTACGGTGAGGTCTAGAACTCCGGCTGCCCACAGCGCCGAGTCCTGGCACTCCATGCGGTGGCATATGGACATAAAGTGTAGCCTGGCCTCAAGTCTCGAAGGGAAACCTTTCTTGAATGGCTGTGTCAATTTTACACAGTTTGCTCTAGGACTGAATATAAGTGGGCTACCGCATGAGTCTTTCCCCTTCTGTATTGTCCAGCATTATCAACCTTTTGATTTCCATTGATTCCATTGTTTATGGAACAGTTTCACAATCAGTTCTGCTCATGTCTGTCTTTCCCCGTGGCATATGGTTGTCTTTACATCAAATGGTAGTAAGTTTTTTCTCCTCTTTATCAAATGTACAATCTAAAACACCACTGCTGCTGGCTTCCACAGCCTTCTCTCTGGTGACAGCCCTGTAACTTTTAGCTTGGACAGGCACCCTTCTGGCACTGCCATGTAAATCTGCTGGAGAGGCCCCCCAGAGATGGGACCTTGCAGCCTCAGACCTTCTGGCCAAAAGTGGCTGCTCTCTTCTTCCCACTCATTCAAGCCTGCGGGAAACAAGCTGATACGCAGCTCTGACTTTCTGAGCACATCTCAAATTTGGTTTATTTTGCATCTACACATGGTATGTCAGCGGAGGCAGCTGTGATAGAGGCCCAGGTGGCTACCAGGCAACCAAGTCCTTGCTATTCACTGCATCCTCCCCACCACAGCTCGGCTGTAAGTCCCATTGCAGACCCGTGGGAGCTGACTCCTTGGAAATGGCAACCAGAAGAGAGGGAGGATGAGGACTTGTTATTCTTACACTGACCTTGACAAGTCCTCACTGTCCTGTCCTTGCCTGGTGTGACTCCTCAGTGTCATGTGTGAACTCTGAGATGATGGAGGTGGTCGTCACGATGTCCAGGTTACAGAGGTGCTACTGTTGCTGATCCAGAAGTTGAGCCAGGAGGTAACAGTGTTTTTTATTGCTGCAGATCTGTACCTCAGCTGGGGAACCAAGCTGGTCCCCATCCAGATGAGAGGCTACTGCAGAGCACGTCGATTTTTGGTGGAAGGCACCATCTCCAGTGGGAGCCATGGTCCATCCCACAGCTCCCTGTGTGCTCAGTTATTTATGGAAAGAGGCAGATGTTAGCTTTGGCACTGCCTTTCTCCTAAGTGCCTTGAGCTGACCGGATGCACTTTTGAGTGTCATTTTAGTGCTTCTTTTGCCAGCTCTGTCTTTTGTTTCTTTGACTGCTTTGAGTGGGATTTCCTTCCATGGATTGCCTTCTCCCTCTGCAAAGCAAAGCAGATGATTTGGCCAGCAGTTGGTGGTGCCTGGCTTTTCAAGACCAGCTTTTTCTCATTCAGACTGGTGGAGATCCAGCAGATTCTCATTATTTAGGGGCTGAGGGAGGAGAAATAGGATCCGCATGTATTTACAACTGGGCTCTTGCAGAGAGATCACTTGTGTAGCTGTGAGTCCCAGTGTGCCATCCCCTCCTGTATCATCATACTTTATGCTGTGGCAAAGCCAGGGCATGACAGCTGGAGTGGTTGTGCTGTAACATCGTACATCCACTGTCTGTGTTTTATGACACCTGCCAGTTGCAGCCTGTCTGAGGCCAGAAGTGTTGCATCCAGAAGTGTTGCAATACCCTGTTCACAGCACTGCATAGTTCTACATCTGTCCTGGTTACCATCCACAGTGGCTCTCCATGCTCTGACTCCACTGCCATCCTATAGAGAACACGTAGCCCAGGCACGTGGCTGGCTCCTGAGGTGCCCCGAGGCTCGGACGTGTGTAGCAGTAGCCTGCAAGGGTGGGTAATGAAGCATTTCCTTTCAAGCAGCAGTTCTTTTTTTCCGCTGCGGGGTAGCAGGAATGCAAGGAACCTCTTCAACAGCCTATTTTAATTTCCCAGGAGAAATAAGTCACAGTATTTTCTGTGAGTTATTTCACAGTTCTTCCCTCTGTTCTGTTGACTCAGCAGGCTGTGCATTAGGGAATTATTTGCAGCTGCAGCCCAATAACTCACCATGTCATAGCTCTTCGATTTTTGTGGGGGCTGTCCTTTGAGCTATAAAGGCTAAGTTGATGGGAAGTATTATAGTTATTTAATATTTTTGCTGCAGGGGTGCCAGAGGCTCCACTCAGTTCCAGACTCTTCTGGACAAAGCAGTGAGGATACCCAGCAGCATGTAGAATCAAAGCCTCACTTTGTTGATAGAAAAAGAACTCTGTTTGTCTCCTTCTATAAGCTGAATTTTTCATTCCTTGTATGCGGCGGGCGGAGGAAGCAAGCAGCCGATTCAATGTGAATGATAGAGCAAGCTTCAACTTTATTAAAAGAAATCATACCGTATATAAGCACTCTACAATACACTACTTGCAACTCTATTGGATACATTTAAGAAACTACATTATAATATCTCAGCCATTGGGTACATCTCAAAGGTCACATTGTAATATCCCAGCCCCTTGTGGCATTTCTGGTATGCATAAACATCTTTCTTGCTGTGAACCTGCTTCCCTCCCAGGGCTGCCTTACTCTCACCCCCAAGGTCATAATGCGCCCCAACTTACCTCCTTGTTCTCACAACAGTCCCTGTTAGCATCACTGTACCCTGGGTTTTTTTCCTCTGTTTACCTCAGGTGGCTGCAATCAGCTTCTGCAGGGAGCTATGGCCTTGCTCTCTGCAAGCCGTTCTCCAACACTTGTAGAGTATTATTACAGTTGTCAGAGGTGCCTATATTTATGTCAACAAATACACAAAGAAACATTTGTAATGCTAGGAGTTCAGGGGGTGTAAGTGGTGTCTTTGTTTAAACCCGTTGCAAGAAGTGAGAGCCTTTAGAAACCAGGCATGCCTCCGAAACTGTGCGACAAGGCTCCTAGGGACTGAGCGCCAGTGCCAGGACTCTTTGGGGGAGAAGCAGAGGGAGAAGACCCCGAGGAGTCAGCAGAGAGTTGCAGACACACAGGTAGCATGGCCTAGATTTCCCTGAGCCAAGAGCATGACATGGAAAAGAACCTGTTGGTTAAAAGAGGTGTGGAGCTGTAAGCAAATCCCGTCTCTTCTTGTCCGAGACTGTGTTCAGAGTAGCAGGAGTGTGTGCACCTTGCAGAGAGAAACAGGATGCATCTGTGTCTCAACTACTTTGCCAGATCATCCGTCAGCTGGAGGAGCCTGTGTGCTGGCTGGCTGCTCACGGCTTGGGGCAGAAGCAGCCGCCAGCGGGCAGGAGCCTGTTCTTCTTTTTCCCCCCAGGCAGGATGGCTCGTTCTGCTTGGTGCTGCGTGCCCCACTCACCGCAGTACGTTAAATACTTATGTGCATGTACAAGTGAAGGGTATAAGAGGCAGCACCTTTGTAACTAAGAATGGAAAATTCTATTTTATTTGTTAAATCTCTCCTGATCTGAGTAAAAGTCATGTAGCCATAGTGCTACGGGGATACACGGGAAGGTTTGGAGGCGAGAGGGACCTTTTTCTTAAACTGGCTGGCACCTCTGGAGAAATCCTACTTGATTCACTGGAGTGTGAGCCTGGTTGCTTTGGTTATAGCTCTAATTTAACAAAATGCCTCTTACCAGATGCCAATAAAAGGAAGAGACTTAGAAAGTTTTTTTGCAGCTGCTTCCAAACTCCCATAAATTTTGTTGATAACTGTTGCTTGTTCCCTGCTCTTCACTGATGCTCTAAATAAAGGCTACAGGGCTGCGGTTGAAAACAAGAAATGTGACATTTGAAGATAAATGGTTTGCTGTCTCCTTCTGTTTCAGGAGGGAGATATTTGGCCAAATTCTTCAGCTGAAGTTAACGTGATCTTTAGACCACGAGAAGCCAGAGTCTATCAACAAACTGTCTACTGCGACATCTCAGGTACAGCTCTTTTCTCCTGCTTCTGTTACCCACGGTGGAGGCACAAGTAGTCTTGCAGGTCCCTCTATTCTTGTGTAGTTGGTAGGAAGGGTCAGTGGTCAGCAGGGTGCTGGCACATGCCTGCTGCCCCTGCAGTTTCCAGGTGGTCTCCTGTCCAAGGCCAGCCCTCAGGGTGTGTGGCTACAAGCCTGGGTCACTGATCCCAGAACAGCTGAGGCAGTGAAGGGATAAGTTCTCATGCCGTGGGTTTGCCAGCATTTGCTCTGCTGCCAGGTGCCTGTAGAGGCCAAAGAGCTACAGAGCTAGACAGCTTCAGTGGGCGAGCAGCAAGTCCCTGTACACCATTTGCCTCCAGGAGGAGTCTTTATTACACGGATGCATCATCAGACTCCTGAGGCAGTAGGAGCTGAGTTACAAATGTGCTTCCAGAGCCTGGATCCCCTCTTGCTACCCCGACACTGCCAGACCTTGGGTGGCTGAGCCCTGCTGAGCACAGGCTGTCTGCAGGACACCTCTGGCCAGCACGTGGGAATTGTCACCTTGTGGCTCTGAGTCTGTGGTGCCTCCGGGTACGTTGCGCAGGGCTTGCTGTGCTCAGCGGGGTGAGCGCTCTCCCTTGAAATCAGAGTCCAAGCAGTCTGCTAGGCAAGCTTTATGCTCATCCTGTCTTACAGAAGTGCCATCGTGTCTTTTGCTGGGAGCAGTTATCTCTGGCCCCCCTGAGCTGCACCTTCTGTGCCCTGGGAGAGGTGATGGCTTTGCTGTGCTAGCATGGGGCAGGGAGTGCCTGGGGCAGGGAGTGCCTGCAGCAGGCTGCGGGGTTTGGGTGACCTCGTACTTCCTCTCTGTCTCTGCGTGGTGCTGCTTAAGGTGTTTTTCAAGACTGGGAGAGCACTGTCAGACTTCCAGCCAGGGAACATGATGGGTTTTCCCCATCAAAGATTAAGAGGTGTGAGGCCCGTGGTCCTCCAGCAGCCAGGCGCATGTTCTGGAGTGTGCTGAAGTCACTAACCCAGCTGCTTTGTTGCTCTCCTTACTGTCCTAAGCTGAGGGATACAAGTGTCATGAAACAGCTTTTTATTTATACTGTAATTGCGCAGGGTTTACTTGGCAAATGCCACCTCCAGTAATTACCCAGGGCTTGTGTTCACAAAGTGTCTTCCTGCCCACCAGCTGCAGCTGCTAGAGCTGTGGAAGGAAAGGATTGATTTAAAAAGTTGCTCCTGAGGGATTCCTCGATCGGTGTGTGCTTCCTCTGGGATTTTTGCTCTGGTGATGAGAGTGTCTGTCATTTTGCTGCAGGTGTCTCCAGGGGTTGTGACAGGAGAGTGTTTTTGCTGCAGAGAAATAGGAAAACTACTTGCATGCAACCCTTGAGCTGGTCTGAGAGTTATAGGAAATGGAGCTGGGCAAATGATGTGTGATTACAAAGAGAAGCTTGCTCTTGAAAAGGTCCTGATGGGCCCTTGGCAGAACTTAACTCCTCCACTGTCTGCTTGGAAGAGAACCTCAAGGAGGGTATTTAAATGATGCACCTAGCCCCCTCCCTTACAAACCAGAGCTGATCCGCTGTATTATCAGGGTGGAAACTGTCCCAGAGTCAAGGTCCCTGAGTGCAAGAAGAGTTTAAAGAAGAAAGCAGTGATCTTTAACCATAGAATCCATTTATTTTGCTTCTTGATTCTTCTAAGAAATGTGACTGCCTTCCTCATGCATTTGCATGCCAGTCACAAACCCCTTTGGAGGATGGTTTGCAGAGGGTGTGTGTCCCTTGCTGTGAATGCTTGGGAGCTTGGCCCCAGTGCAGCCCTGTGAGTTGTGCAGCTGGATCTCATGCCCCGCTGGAAAGAGGCTTTGCTGGCCTCCACTTTTTTGCAGGTGCCTCCATGACTTGCCAAGCACGGGCTTCTGCATGCAGTGATTTATAGAATTGATCAGCACTGCGCAACTTGCAGAGCTGGTGGTTAAGAAGTGGTTTGAAATTTGCCCTTGGCAAGTATTTAATCTCAGAATCACAAAATCGTCTAGGTTGGGAAAGACCTTGAAGATCCTCCAGTCCAACCATTGACCTAACATTGACAGTTCCCAACTCCCACAGATCCCTCAGCGCTGGGTCAGCCCGACTCTTCAACCCCTCCAGGGATGGGGACTCCCCCCCTGCCCTGGGCAGCCCATTCCAACGCCCAACAGCCCCTTCTGCACAGAAATCCTTCCTCAGAGCCAGCCTGACCCTGCCCTGGGCAGCTTGAGGCCATTCCCTCGGGGCCTGGCGCTGGCTCCTTGGCTCCAGAGACTCATCCCCCCTCTCTGCCCCCTCCTGGCAGGGAGTTGCAGAGGGCCAGGAGGTCTCCCCTCAGCCTCCTCTTCTCCAGACTGAACCCCCCCAGTTCCCCCAGCCGCTCCCCAGCAGACCTGTGCTCCAGACCCTGCCCCAGCTCCGTTGCCCTTCTCTGGCCACGTTCGAGTCACTCAATGGCCTTTTTGGTGTGAGGGGCCCAAAACTGAACCCACTCATCGAGGGGCGGCCTCACCAGTGCCGAGCACAGGGCTCAGATCCCTTCCCTGTCCCTGCTGGCCATGCCAGTGCTGACACAAGCCAGGATGCCATTGGCCTTCTTGGCCACCTGGGCACACAGCTGGGTCCTGTTAAGCCGGCTGTCAATCACCCCCCAGGTCCCTCTCTGACTGGCAGCTCTCCATCCACTCCTCCCCCAGCCTGTAGCCCCCCTGGGGGTTGTTGTGGCCCAAGGGCAGCCCCCGGCATTTGTTCTCAGTGAAGCTCATGCAGTTGGGCTCAGCCCATGGCTCCAGCCTGTCCAGGTCTCTCTGCAGCCTCCCTGCCCTCAAGCAGATCAACACTCCCGCCCAACTGGGTGTCATCTGCAAACTGACTGAGGGTGCCCTCGATCCCCTTGTCTAGATCATCAATAAAGATGTTAAACAGGAGTGGCCCCAAAACCCAGCCCTGGGGGACACCACTCGTGACCAGCCGCCAACAGATTTAACTCCATTCACCACAACTCTCTGGGCCCGGCCACCCAGACAGATTTTTACCCAGCAAAGCGTGTGCCCATCCAAGCCATGAGCAGCCAGTTTTGCCAGGAGAATGCTGCGGGAAAGTGTCAAAGGCTTTACTAAAGTCACAGTAAACTACATCCAGAGTTCAAAACCAGTCACAAGGGACGGGGACATTCTGTGAACAAGCAACTGAGTGTCAGAAAGCAGCAGAAGTTAAGGCCTTTGGCAGCAGAGCCCCTTGCTGTTGGGCCACCTAGACCCCTGTTTATTTGAAAGCAAGTCAGCAGTGCCACCCTGTGCACCCTGTGACCTGCCACTGCGTTATTCCTGCTGAGATCCCAGTGCTCGCTCCACAGCACCAGGGGTTGGTTTGGGACTGAGGACAAGGCTGTAGCCCCTCCATGCCCTTGTCCTGTGTGCTCGGGGACGTGTTACGGTGGGAGCATCTCAGGGCCACAGCCCAGCTGTAGCCAGGCCTTGGGCAAAGGCTGGATGCTCCTGGAAGCCCCAGCTCCCAGCAAACAGGAGGACATACTCTCTCTTTTTCCCTCTCAGCTCCCCTGAATGCTGCATGCAGTTTAGTCTGCTCCTCCTCCTTTGGGAAAAGCCCACTCTGTGGTTCACCTGGAAGGAGGAAGAGCCGCATTTCTGGCATTTCCTAAAGTTTCAAGTTCAGTGTAGGGTAGAAGAAAAGGTGGTTTCCAGAGACCTTCTGGAGAGGTTGAAGACCTATTGCAGAAGGAGAACTACCACTGAGTTTTGACTGCAGTGGCCATGGAATGTGTGTCTCAGCATGATCATGGACAAGAGCTTGTCACTTGGAAATCTCTGCCATTTCCTAAGAGCTTTGGTTGTTCAGAGCTAGACTTTTTAATGAAAATTAAGCCATATGAGATGCAGGGTGGAGTGATCTTTTGACAGTGAGCACCCAATACTGCCTCTTTTATGGTGCCTGTGAAATAGAAACACACAGCCCTCCAATTAATGCCTGAGCTGTGCAACCTAACGGTCATCTCTGCTATCAGCTGGGCTTGGTCTGGATCCATTTGAAAAATGTTGAATTCAACAAGAGCTTCTTCACTCTTCCTTTCTGGCTTGGACATTATCAAACATCCTCATTCCATGGTTGCAAGATCAGAAAGTCAGCAATCACTAAAAAGGCTGTTTCCAGGAGAGTTTTTTCAAGTTGTGATCTAGTCATTGTGTTGTCCCACCTGGGCTGTTCTTTGCAATAGGAAGTAGTTTTGGACATTCTGGAATAACTGTGTGCAGCAGATAAAAAAATCAACCTTCAATCCCTAATCTTTAATTAATGGTGAGCATTACACAAAAAGACAAGAATATTTTTGCACGAAAACTACACTGAAGGTTAGATACAACTTCTGGGCCTTTCTTCTTTTCCTTGTGCTACTCACTTTCTGTGCAGAGTAGGATGGGATGCCAGGGAGACCCAAGCCCAAACTGGAGCCAGGGTTCAGGCACTTGAAGTTGCTGCAGTGGCTCAGAACAGCCTTCAGACTGCAAGATCCCACCCTGTCATCTTAGCAGGCTTACGGAAGAAAATGAGGATCTCGGTGTTCAGCTATAAGCCTTGCAGTCTCGGTTCCCTTTGCAGCAAGGGCTGTGTGTATTAGCAGTATGTTCCTGGATTCTCTGACCTCAGCAGTGAGGTTTTCCATAACTGTTCAGCATGCTTCAGGTAAGGTGTCTTTACAAAGCTGAGCTCTCAGTATCATGGTGGGCGCAGGCGAGTGCCGCTCTCTGGAGATCACAAATCCCTGTCTTATTTAGGTGCTGCTGCAGGAGGTGAGCCCTGGAGCCCCAGGCACGGAGCTGTGTGTCAGGCACGGGCAGAGCTGAGGTGCTCTGCCTGCTGTAGGGAGCTCTCAGACGTGCACAGCAAGTTAGCAGGGAGCTTCGCCTTGCCTGGGCTCGTACTTCTCGGCTCCTGTGCTTTTGTCTCTGATTGCATCAGTACAGATGGCATATTTTTACCTTCAGTTCTGCTTTGTGCCTTCACTGAATGGATTTCAGAGCTTGTCTAAGCACATGGGAAGAAATTCAGAGATTGTGTTTTAAACTCAGCATCACTTTTCAGGGTGCAAACTGATGGCTAAATGAGAAGCCAGCCCGAGGGGTTGGTTAGAAATTAGAAGCCAGCCCCAAGGCATATCTCCTGAGGGCAGGTAAGAGTCCTGTGTCTCCTCCTGGAGCACCTAGAGCTGTTCCCATCCAGCCCAGAGTCAGGGAGGAACACCGAGGCAGCCTGGACAGTCCGGGATAACAGAGGCAATTACTGTCCTGAAGTGGAAATCTCTCCGCAGGCCGCGAGACCAGGCTGCCCCTGCGCATCACAGGAGAAGGCATAGGGCCTCGGCTCTGCTTCAGCTGTGAGCAGCTGGACATCGGGAAGGTGTTTATTGGATTAGACCACAGCTATGAGGTGAGCAGTCAGGATTACTGAGGGGGTGGGGGGATTGTGATGGTTCCCGGGGCAGCAGTGAGCCTTGTGGACCTGTGGGATTTCTGGCAACTCGGTTCATTGTGAGCATGGAATATTTGACATACTAGTCAAATTCAGGGGCTTTCCCAGAATCTGGATACTTCTGATGGTGTCTGAAACGTGCGTAAATTGTTTGTGAAGTTTTAATCCCTGCTTTTTGGCAATCTTCCTTGGAGGTCAGCTGGGAGGTTTCCTGTGAAAAAGTACCCCCTTGACACATGAAAGCAACACTGGGACAAAAAGATAAATATTCAGAGGCTTTTGTTTCAGCCCTGGATGAAACTTTGTACTCAGGCTGTTAAAAAGTAGCTGGATCAAATGTACTGTGTTGGAACTCCAGGCCATTGCAACCAGTTTTCGGTTAAGTGGGCGCTACCGGTCCTGGGAGCTGGAGGAAATCTGTGCAGCCTCTGGCTCAGAGCTGGGTCTGGCCATGGAACTGGGAGTGCTTTCCCTTGCTGACCAGTCTCTTGCCACTACAGATTTGCTGCATCTTTATGAAGAGCAAAGCATTTCTGGAAGTGAAGCAAAGGAACTTTCTACATATTTGCCTCCCCTTGCCCCCACTGCAGAAAAATAAGAGTGCAAGTGAAAGAGGTAGGAAATGAGGCAATACTTGGAAAAGCTTGACTGTGGCAGGGAAGGACACATCAAGGTGTTTTCTTACCAAAATATTGTGCTCTCTATGCATTTTGAATGGTGATATTTTATTGATTCTCTATAATTTTATTATTTTCATTACTTGAGAAAATGTGACTAAGTAGATGATACTGTTAGTGCTGTGCTGAGCAGGTAGACTGGAGGTAAACCTCAGCTCAGCGCAGGATCCCTGAGTGCAATTTGTAACTGAGGTGTAAAAGACATGAGAGGAGAGAGTAGTTTTCAGGTTACCCTTGCAGAGCTTGAATACATGAATATTTTTAACAGTAGCTGCAAAATCTAAAAATACGGGACATCTCTCTGCTTCTGTCTCGATTTTTCTACCAGGTTTTACAAAGAGAAAAATTAGGGAAAAGAAACCCAAAACAGATAGTTAAGTCCATGGAAATGGCAGGACCCTGCAGCAATCAGAAATTTTACTGCTTTGCTTCGGGTGGGTTTGTTGGTGGCTGACAGCGTGCTGGTACTCGCAGCAGCTGTGGGCATTACTCGCCCAATGTGAGAAGAGCTGAATCTCAACAAGTGCTGCAGGATTGTGTCACTTGTTTGAGGCAGTAGATCTCGAGTGTTCAACAAAATACAGCTTAGTTCTAAATTTGCAGTTTATTCTGATAATGGTAAAGTCTTGGATGGTGGCTGTGAATATTTAGGAAAGAGAAATTCTTTGGAGTAGACGGAGCTGCTGTGCACCGCATACTCATCCTTTTCTGACACATCTGTCTGAGCAAAGACTAAGAAAGTATCCCATTAAAGAAAAAAATAAGAAACCTAAATCACATACTGTAGCAGAGTTGGGGAATGCTTCTGAAGCTGGTTATAGTGCTGCCCTGAGGTGTCTTCTACCTGCAGTAAACTTGTTGGCTGTGACGTGTTGTGCCCTCGGCAGGATCAGACTCATCGGGAGCAGAATCACTTGTGTGATGATTCACTAGTAAAGCTGCAAGTGCCCTTCGTTGCTCTTAGAGATAGGTCAGAATGGACTTGGTGATGCTGAGCAGCTCCTCTGCACTGCAAGTTGAAGTGGGCTGCTCTGTGTCAGTGGAATAAACCCCAAGTGACTGGTTCTATGAAGCTGTCACTGCTTTGCATGAAAAACCCAAAGGCAGAACTTGTCCACTTGTATTTTCTTTGGTTTCTGCCAAGCAGCAGCACACAGCATCATCTGTTTTTTACAGACGTTAATTGCTTAATCAGAAAACAAATCAGCCTTCTGTAAGAAAGGAAGATTCCTTATGTATTTCCATTCTGCTTTCTTGCTGCTGCAGGTGGTCCTGTTTAACAAAGGAGCCATTGATGCTGTCTTCAACTTGGTCCCTCCAGCTACAGCTCTGGGCTCCTGCTTCACCTTCCTCCCTCAGGAGGGCATCATTTTACCTGAGGGGCTCCAAGTCATCCGGATCTCCTTCAGTTCCACCAGCCTGGGGGAGTTCAAAGAAGAATTCAGGTTCAGTGTGAATGGATCCCCTGAGCCTGTGACCTTGACAATCAGGTGAGGAGGGTTATAGGAGCTTGGTGGGCACATCTGTAGCTGTCTCTGGGTAATCATCTCCCACCTACCTCATTTTAAGATGGAACAGAGAAAAAAAGATGTTGTCTAAGGTCTTAGTCTTGGCTCAGATCCTAGCATCCCCACACTGAGAGCCAAGGCTTTTTAACCTTGACTCCATTTTGAGCCTTGCAGCTGCAGCAGCAAATGAAGTTTGATTGTCTGCGAGAGGAAATCGTAGAATTGTAGAATAGTTTGTGTTGGAAGGGACTTTTAAAGGTCATTTAGTCCAACACCTCTGCAATGTGCAGGGACATCATCAACTTGATCAGGTTGTTCAGAGCCCTGTCCAGGCTGACCTTGGATGTTTCCAGGGATGGGGCATCTACCACCGTTCTGGGCAACCTGTGCCAGTGTCTCACCACCCTCACTGTAAAAATGTTTTTCCTTTATATCTAGTCTGAATCTTCCCTCTGTAAGTTTAAAACCATTACCCCAGGCCCTACTAACAAGCCAGTCTGAATCTTTCTTATAAGCCCCCCTGAAGTACTGAAAGGCCACAGTAAGGTCTCACTAGAGCCTTCTCTTTTCCAAGCTGAACAATCCCAGCTCTCTGGGCCTTTCCTCACAGGAAAAGTGTTCCATCCCTCTGATCATTCTTGTGGTGTTCTCTGGCCCCGCTCCAACAGGTCCATGTCCACCTTGTGCTGAGGAGTCCAGAGCTGGACACAGCCCTGCAGGGGGGTCTCACCAGAGTGGAGTAGAGAGGCAGGATCAGCTCCCTCGACCTGCTGCCACCTGTGACCATGCCTCCTGTGCTCTCAATACCCAGTTTAACTTTCAAAGTCTTGGGTTCCTCTGGGAAGCAGCTTTGCCTTCAGGGTTGAGGCGTGTGGCTCTGTGACTTTCCAGGATGCTGTTTGCACAGAATTTGGTAGCAGCAGGTTCTCACACTTCTCTGTGTGAGGGCCCTGGGGCTTTAAGTGACTACCCGTGCTGGAAAACAGTTGGAGTGGAGGCTGTACAGGAATGGTGTGGAGATGTCTGCTGCCCAGTCTGGGTACCCCGGAGCTGGAGTGACTCCTTCCTACAGATAGCTCATACCCCCTTGGGCCACGGCAGACAGTGGGATGGCATTAGCTTTGGGCTGTAGCTGGTCTGGGCCACCCCCCCTGAACACCCAGCAAGGCCAGCAGGGCTTTGGGGATGGGCCAGCCTGGGTGGCTGCAGCCAGAGGCAGTGTTCTTAAAATCCTCTATTAATAATCCATCCAAAATGGGTAGCAGCAGCCTCAGCATCACCTCTCATGCTCATGGGTTGGGACAAGCTGTCCTCTTGTGCAGCCAGTGCTGTGGTGGTGCCTCCTCTCTGCAGCCAGAGCAGTGCTGATGGGGCAGACGGGGAGCTCTGCAACAGGTGCTGTCACAGGGGCTCGGGCATCGTCCCGTGGGCTGGTGCCATGGCAAGAGATAATCCTCACCAAGCAGAGGGGAGAAGGGGGAAAAAACTGATGATAGGAGAGGCAAAGCTCACTTCTCAGGACTGCAACAGCATGCAAACTTGTCCCAGCTGGTCTTTAACCACGGGCTGGTGGGATGACGTGGTGTAGGCAGGAAAGCTGGCGCTGGGTGCTCTGGAACTGTGGGGCTGGCTGTGCCTCCTTGGCAACCAGCCTCCTGGGCTGCTGCTGCTGGGAGGCTCTAGACAAAGGCAGTAAAGCAATGGGAGGAATCTACGCTCAATGTTACCAATAAGGTGATTACTTTGCAAGAGAAGTCATGAGTAGGTCTGTTGACCTCAGTAGAGTAACTATTACGTTGGCTTTGTGTTTGGAGGGAAAGTGCTGCTTTTTCTGGAAATCAAGAGGGAACATTTCACAATCGAATAACTTATTCTCCTCTGTGCCTCCCCCAAATTGGTCACGGGGTGTTATTGCATGAGCAGCTTTCTCCCTGAGCAAGGGCAGGTTTTGCTGGTAAGGCTGCACTTACCACAGGTAGAATACAGTACTGCTTGGACAGTGCCCGCTGCCTCTGCCCTGCAGTGGCCTTGCTCCTGGGGAAGGAAGGAAGGAGCTGTCCGAGGGACGGTTGTGTCTTGGATTCCCCACAGCCAAATGAAGTCGTCCTTTTTTCCCCACTGATGCCCTGCCTCTCAGTGCCCAGCACACCCTCCCCTTCTCTGTGGCTACTCTGCTCTGTTTGGCCAGCACCTCCCTGGGCTCAGTGCAGACCTTCTGTCTCAGTGAAAGAGGATTGCTGGTCCTTTTTTATTTATTTCTTCCCCATCCTTGTACCCTTCCTCCCTGGATGGTGGCTCCTATGCAACCCATCTGATGGCACCCTGGCACACCTGCCTGCTCCCATGCAGCTGTCCCTCAGCAGCAATTCCCATTGCAGTCCTCTCCTCCCTGAGATGGCATCTGCCTCCTTGAGCTGCGTCTCGCCCTTTTCAAGGATCCCTCTCCAGCCCTTCTGTCATTCTCCAGCCCCACAGCTCAAGATGTTTGTTTTCAAATGCCTTGAGATGTCCACTCACCAGGTCAAGCTGAGCCTCCCTCGTCAGAAAGTTTTGTGCAGGATTTCATCCTCCATGGAGAAAAGCTTCTGGTTCTTTTGAACAGAGGCAAGCTGGCTGGTGGGACACTGGGCTGCAAAGGAAGGAACGGGGATGAGAGCTCAAGCAGTTCCTCTCCCACCTTGTGTTATCCTTCCTGCTCTGCCAGCACCCTGATCTCTCTTCATACATGCATTACTTAATGCTAATGTAAAACACAGTTGTTGCCAAAACCACTGCCTTTCCCTCCCTTCTCTTGCAAGCTGTACTGCTACCAGCTCTGGGTTGGCTCCTTGCCTGAGCCTTCTGGGCAGTCATTCCAGTTTAACTTCCCAGAGCACAGATTCGGTGCACTCAGGAGAAATGGCAGTCATTTCCCCACTTGCCTGGCAAGGCTTATCCTTGGCAGTTTCCCAGTGTCATCCCCAGTTGTGGCTGATCTGGAGGTAGTTTTTCATTGTCTCCTGGCAAATGCTGTGACAGAAAGCATATCTGCTCCCTTTGCTACATCTAGAGTAAGCTGTTAGGGCTTGGGAGGTCAAATCTGGTTATGTGAGGTCCCTGGAGAGGGAACTTCACTATTAGCAGGGATTTGGTACTGGGCTCATTCTTAGGAGCTGATTGAGCTGCAAGAATCGAGATGTAGTGTTGGATTGAAACTCCTGAAAGTCATTTTTTGAGTGTTCTTTGAATATGCAGTCAGAAGGTGCCAAGACCATAGGTGATTATTTGTTACTTGGAAACCAACCTCACGAAGTGCTGGATGCTTGTTTCCTTGGTGTTTGGAAAGGGATGCTGGAAATGGGACACCACGGATGGACACAGGTCCCTCCTGTGGGATGCTGGGGTCTGTTCATGTGCAGAACATGTGGATAATGACAGTAGGAGTCCTGTGAATAAAATGAGAAAGCACTGTTCACTGTGGCCCTTGATTTTTAACTGAGGCAGAGCTGGCATTGATTGTCATCAACCATTAAGTCAATTGATGCTTGTTATGCATCTTCAAGTACTGATTTCAGTGGATGTGAGTGAGTTTTGGAGTTCGGAGCCTGTCTGCTGAGTTGAAGGATGGGCGAGGTGATGAGGTGGGTTCAGGACACCTGTGTTCAGCTGTTTAAGACATGTTGCCCTTGGATGTGTCAGCTGGTGCACTGGTGACAAGCTGATACTTACTTCCAAGATTCAACTGTCCCCTGCGTAGAACTGTTGCTGCTCTTCTCAGTGGATGTTTAGGGCTCCCTTGGATTCATGTCTGAAAGTCCTGCATGTGTAATGATTGTGTGGATCAGGCCTTCTGAGAAAGGTGTTCATATGCTCCATGGAAATACCAGTTCCAGCTAGGAAATACCAAAGCAGGGAACCTGTGGCTGGGAAGGCTCATTACAGTGAGTCCCCTTGTGTGTGGACACCTCTGTCCATCACATGACGGGTGGGGAAACTGAGGCACAGAGCCATCACTTGTTCAGGGACCTGACTGGTGGCACATCCTGCCGCGGTGCCCTGAGCCTCAGCAGCAGCTGTCGGCTGCTGACCACTTTGCTTTGGCTGCTTGCTGTCCCCATGTGTGCTGTGCTGAGCACAGGGCTGACAGGTTGATTTGAAGCCCACCGTGGTTCTGAGAGCAGCTTTTACCCACCCCAGTGATAAGGAAAGCTGAAGGCTTTGCCATTCTCTCTAACCCAGCCAATGCCATATCTGCCTGTCTTTGTCCTTGCAGGGGCTGTGTCACTGGACCGACTTTTCATTTCGATGTCCCTGCCCTCCACTTCGGTGATGTCTCCTTCGGTGAGTGTGCCCTGGGCTTGGGCCACAGGTTGGGAGCTCTGTGAATTACCAAAATTGAGCACTTTAACATAAGACCATCTGTTACATGTGCTCCTCCATCACAGCCTTCAGGGTGTTAAAGCCAGGGCTGCTGGTTGTTTAGGCTGTCTTGTGCCATTGTGAGATTCAAATAGGACCAAGGGATTAAGCCAGTATTTTCTGGTGTCCTCATAGTCTGTTCAGCCCCAACCTCCCAGTCCTTGGCAGCAGAATGACTTGGCCCAGAGGGCCCAGGGGATGGGACTGCAGCAGAAGGGAGTTTAAGCCACGTACTAGCCTGTAGCTGCTCTGGGTAAATGTTCCTGTTGCAAGGCAAGGATACCAGTTACCCTCCTGACCTTTAGTGCCAGATGTTAATTAACGCTGTGAGGGCCCCTCGTTGTCACCCACCAGGTAACATGCCCAAGCAGTAGCTCTGAATCAGGCACTGATGTCCTTGGACCATGGGCTCCTCCTTCCACACCACAGGCCCAGCTCTGCTGACAGAGCCTGTGGCTGAGCATCCAGGAGCGCCTCTGTTGAAATGCAGCTTCTGGTTCTCCATCTCAGGCTCACAAAAGGCTTTTTACTGAGATGATCTACAGTTTAAATGTGAAATCAGTTGTGGATTGATTGAAGGGCCATTATCATTCTGTGCCCAGGATGCCTCTGTGTTTTCATGCTGTTCATGGACTTTTTAAGAAGACTCATTACCTTTCCTGAGCTGCTTCTCCCCTCCCTCCGTCACCACTCTGCCACTTCTTTATTACCTTTTGAATGAAACAACAAGAAGCACAGCAGGCAGATGTAATAGGGGATTCATCCTCCTTGATCTCATTTCATTAATAGGCCTTTTCAGCTGAAGGCAGCTATTGTATTTTTGCTTCTTTTAACTGTGCTGCTGATTACTGACCTGCATCTGGTGACTTTGGTCTCATTTGGGACTGTGAAGTTTGTGTCCTTTTTGTGCCCCTCCTGCCTCCCTGCTGCAGTAACTGCTGGAGGTTGGCAGTGGTCACTGTTGTTGGACATGGAGACCCCCCCACTGTAGCTGCAGTTGGTTTTCCTTCCCATCTGTATACAAACAATGCTTGGTGAGCAGGCCACAGGAGATGTCTCCTTCTTGCAGAGCTGGCCAGCCCAGCCAGATGTCCAGGCCAGAGCAGGCTGTGGACTGATGTCCTGTCTCTGCAGAACACCCCACCAGATGTGACTGTGTCACTGGTTTTCCATGAGGGAAGCCGAGTTTCACAGCTCAAGTGATGTCGAACTTTGCAGGGCGCAGTGCACAGTGTGGAAGCCGTGTCCCATTTGTTAGGTGAGGTCTAACATGGCTCCTGCTGATTTTTGAGCAAGCATCAGGTTTGCCTCCAGTGCAGGGCTGTGCGTTGTGTCCTGGTTCAGCTAGGATAGGGTTAAGGTTCCCCAGCAGAGAGGGGGAAGGGATCTCCAGGCAGGTTGTCAGGTCTGGGCTCGGGAGTGCGGGAACTTTTTCCTTTGTGTCTTTGGTGGCGGGGAGCATGGGCCTGTCTGTAATCGTTGCGGTATTTCTCTGTGTATCTTTTGTCTTGTTCACTGTTATTACTGTTTACTGTTGTTATCATTGCTCCTGTTGTTGTTCAGATTGTTTATTACATTGTTGTATTAAATTTCTTCTTATTTCAACCTGGGGTTTGTGCCCTACTTGTGTCTGAGGGTGGGGGAGGGACAACAGCAACGTGGTATCTGGTCCCAACAGGGCTTAAACCAAACTCAGTTGTCATGTGCTCAGTCTGGTAGCCCCAAACAAGAGATGCCTTAAGGGTCCTGCCTAGATAAACTGCATTAGAGTGTTTTGCATCATGCTGTCGTTCCCAGTTCATCCTTCCTTTCTTTTACAGTAGCTTCTCCTCGATGACAATACCCTGCTCTTACATACTGAAAACTGGGACTGTTCGCAGAGTTCACAGGGCATTTTACAGATTGAATTTTCAGAATAAATGGTCTGTCTGGGTAGACACTCGTGAGAACTAATTGGTACTTGTTTGGGGGCAGGTGAGAGAGCTCCTCACAGTAAGAGAGAGAGAACCTTCTGGTGTTTAGCATCGCTAAGAGTGGGCATTTCCAAGGAAGCAATGTCTGTGATCAGTGTAAAATGGAATTTAAGTGACAATTAATTTCTTGTGTAGCTTCTCAGTTAGCTGCACTTCAGATTGAAAAGAGCTAAACTCCAAGCCTAGTTTTATCACAACAGGCTATTCACACCAGAAATCACAGGACAGTTGGTGCATAAATTCATATTTGTTTCATTTTCCTAGGCTTTCCTCACACCTTGTCATGTCGCCTCACTAACACCTCCTTGGTGCCCCTGACCTTCAACCTTCGTGTTCCTGGGGACGGCCTGGGAGAGCCCAGTGTCAGCAGTTTTGCTCAGATGACAAACAGCACTCGCCTACTCCAGAGAAAGGGAGCCCAACATCGCCTCAGGCCAAGCGAATTCACCATAAAGCCCCACAGGGGGACCATCCGCCCCCTGGGATTCCTGGATATCCAGGTATGGGAAGAGTCCGGCCGTACGTGCTTGGCAGGTGGAGCTGGAGCATCACTGAGGGATGGGAGGGCTTTAGCACCGCTAGCTCTGAGCGTAACATGCATAGGATATCTGCACTGGTGTTGGGCTTTTGCTAGCTGGGTTACTCTGGGGCTTTTCTGAAGGACCACTGCTTTGTTTCTAAAATTGTAAGGTGAAGATCATGTACCATATGGTCAAGTGCAGAAGCCATTCATCTGTTTTTGAGAGCTGCTTGGAGCAGTTTCTTTGGTTTAAAGTGGGCAGAGGAAGGATGAGGACGGAAGGTGGCTGTTAAAAAGACGGATGTCATTGTATAAAGCACTTTGCTTTTGTTCCCGGTCTTATTTCTCCTCTCCTGATGAGCAGAATGAGTTGTATTCACTGCGGTGATCTCCAGTGGGGACTGAAAAAGCTCTGACAGCCATGAAGTGCACAGCTGGGCTGCATTTTGCCCTCAGCTTCCCAGTGTAACGCTGAATCTGTTGAGGTCAACAGATTGTCTCTGCATTTATGCTGTTGTAGTTGAGATTAAAAATTAATCCCTTAATTTTAATACAATGGGGAGTAGATCATTAATCTAACCCTGCTTACATATGCCCCGGTAAGTGCAAGGTGTATTTAACAAAGCAGATTTGTCAGAAGACTTTTGTTACTCCTAGCAACTGTGCTCTGTCCATGGACTAGCAGAAGTTGGGGCAGAATCCTCCTTTTCCTGCCTGTGGAACAAGAACCGGAGGACAGCAGGTGGACGATGGCTTTTGGGAGTGATGAAGTGTTTGATGCTCTTCTCTTCCACCAGGTCACCCTGTGTTCCAACACTCTGCAGAGATACGAGCTGGCTCTGGTGGTGGATGTGTGCGGTGTTGGCAGGGCGGTGTCGGCACTGCTCCTCACAGCCAGGTATCGGCGCCTTCCTTGCAGCTCGTCGTCTCTCTTCGTGCATCCAGCACCACGCTGCCTTGCACGTGGTTTGCTGGCTCCATATCCAAATGACAAGTATTGCTTAATGAGGTAGTTCTGCCCAGCTAGATGTGAGATGGGCAGTGTTCTGAAAGCAGCACCTGCGCTCCACGGACAGGCATGACCCTGAGCCTTTTTCTAAAGGGAACAGTAATTATATTCATTGTTGGCCTGTTTTTTGGTGCTTGAGGTGTAATAAATTTCCAAGGGGCCATCTTTCCTCCTTCCTGACAGTGGTGGACTTGTGCTGGGCTGCAGCCAAAATACAACATCCATTTGGGCTGCGGTGAGCAGCCTGCTGAGAGCTGGTGTCTGGGTCAGTTAATGAAGGTGCATGGGAATGGGAAAGGGGCTTATGGGAGGACGGGTGAGGGGAAGCTCAAAGCAAGATCTTATGAAGGGGAAAATAGTCCTTGATGTGGAAGGTGAGCTCAGGTTTCTCTGCTTCCCTCTGGTTCTTTTGAGCATTAATGTTCTCAGACTTAAGCCAGAAGTTGTTCTTGCTGCAGCCAGATTCCATCCTGTTGTGCTGTAGTGGGTGTTGGTTTGATTCCAAGAGGGATGAGTTCACTGTGCTGTTTCCTCTCCAGGCAGAGTCATCCAGTCAGTGCCTGGGCTTCAGTTTTGTAAAACAAGTACAAATGGGGACAGAGAGTGCATGGAGCTGTGGGGTGCAGGAGCTGGGAGAGGGTGATCCCCCACTGCCTCGGGCTTGTGCCCTCCATCACTGGGCAAAGGGCTGAGTTCTCAGGCGGGGCAACAGCGGTGTGGGAGAGGAGGGAGTCGTTCTCACTGAGACACTGGGGTCTTATGCCCTTTGAGCCTTGGTGAGCACTCGGGGGAAGGCTCCCCCACAGCTCACGCCTTGCCAGAACTGTTGGGAGGGTCCTTGCAAGCCTCCTGGGGCAAAGAGCGGGCAGAGCTGATCAGGCAGCTCTGGCACAGGGCACCGTGCGCCGCCCGGGCACCTGGCAGCCTCTGCGAGGCCGAGTCCTGGGGTTTGCCCCACCTTTACGGGGGGGGTGGAGTCAGAAGCAGTAAAAGTCCATTTATCGCTGTAGGGGTATTAAGTGTCTATTTGACAGATGTGTTATGCTGTTTCACACTACTTGGGGAGTAAACAAACTCCACATTCTCTTCATATCTCTGATTCCCTTATGGTCATCTCTTTGCTAGATGTGTGGTTCCTGCACTGCGAGTGCTCAACCCTGTTGTGATGTTTGGACGGTGCTTTCTAAAATTCCCTTACCAGCAGATGCTGACCCTTGTGAATGACAGCGATCTTCCAGGCTGCTACAGGGTTCTTCCTCAGGTTTGACATTGCATCCACCTCCTGCCCTCGGATGTTATCAAGGGTTCATTAGGGAAAGAACGGATTTTGGATAAGACCTTGGTAGTTTATATTCAAACCTAAAGGTTGCTGAGAGAAGGAATCTACCTGAATATAAACTTCAGGAAGCAGTTAAATAGGAACCTACCTGAATATAAACTTTAGGAAGCAGTTTAAACTTTTTAGGAAGCAGTTTATATTCTAGTCTTTGGGGTGCTTTCATGCAGGAGAACTTAGAGGCTTGTGAAAAGCTGCTTCAAGGAGGCTGCCAGCACAGGAGTGGGTGTTTGTGGGTGCAGCAGCTTTTGGACCCCCTGAGGATGCTAAGCCCACATAGTCTTGCATCTTGCTTTGTACCTTTCTGCTTTCTCCTAGGGATTTTTGAAAATGTGTGTGAATTGCCATTGTGGTAGATGTTGAGTTCAAAGTTTCCTCCAAGGTCACTCCTGTGTGTTGCGTTTGACTCTCCCTTACAGGAACACGAGGAGGACGCTTCTGTGTGGTACTCCAGCCCTGTGCCGTGGGGGATTGTCCAGCCTCGCAGCTCGGTGGAGGTCCCGTTGACGCTGGAGGCCCAGGTGACGGGAGAGCAGGACACTGTTGCTCATGTTGCAGTGTTTGGGAGTGAAGGATCCCCTCTGGTGAGTTCCAGGGGACGTGGGCCTTGGTGCGACTCCTCTTGGTGGGGTGTGAAGCCTCAGGCAGGGTTGCTAATTTCCAGGGATTCTTCCCGGGAAAACAAGAACTTGTAATATATGCTGGTGTGGACAAGGAAAGAAGGGGTTTGTGGCATACACAACTACTGCCTGTGAAACAAAGAGCTTCACTTCACAGTCAGAACTGAGCAGAACTGCTCAGCAGGGATTCTTTATTCTCAGCACTGGGTATTGCTCCACCACAAGTGCTGCACCTACTAACAAAACTCTCTGACTAATACACACAAAAAGCACACATATGCATCAGATTTCCTGGAAAAGGCAGTATGCTAATGGGTTCTCAGAATTCATTTACATAGTCTGAACATGAGTAGTAAAAATAGTGAGGATCTTCTCCCCCCTTGGTGGTTCACATCGTCTTCCTCACACTGCCCGCTGGCTGAACTGTAGGTTTCCCGTGTCCACGCGTGGTCATGGAGTGAACTCACCCGTCCTTTGGCTCCTGTTTGTTCCAAAGGGGTTGGTTTAAACCAGCTTCCAGTCGCTTTTCTTGACACTGGCGTCTTCTCAGACACTTGTCTTGCGTTTTTAGGTTCCCTGTTATCAGGGATGTACTCAGGGAGTTTACCAGACTGTCCAAGGCCTGCTTTATCTCCACTAGGCAAGGAATTACAGTTTTCATTTTTACAAGTGGGTAAGATCTCAAAGGGTAGTTAGGAAAAGAGTATAAATGAAATTATATATATATTGTGCTAAAATACAGGAAAAATAAAAGCTAGTGAAAAACAAGTAATGGTTAATGTTAAAACTAAACATCCAACTTTACTGGTTTTTACACATTAACAAGGTCAGGAGGTCTTGTAATCTCAAGTATACTTGTGGCCACTCCCCTTCACCTAGAGAAGAGGAGGGATGGTGTCATCCCAGGTGGTAATCTAAATGTCTGACACAGCATTTAATCACAGCTAGCTCAGACAGAATAAGAAGGCCAGTCTGAAGCCCAGAACAGCCCCTGGGTCTCGTACTCTGCTGTGCTATTAGATGAACAGCTCTGGTGCTTCGTTCGGCCTTTTGTTCAGGAGCACACAGGGACATCCCTGAATCCTGATAATGCAAGCGCTGTGTAAGAGACCGTGATGAAAGTCAGGCCCATCACGTCTGAGGAACACTTATAATAGGTCTTTGCCAAGAGCCCCAGCCAAAGACTCATGAGTCTCCACACTGCTTGCACCTGGAGCACAGAGACTTTTTTTTTCTACCAAACCTGGAAATGGATGAGGCAAAGCATTTCTGGCCTAAAGCCTCCTGAAAGCTGATGTTCAGAGTCAGGTACACAACAGCAGCAATGACTACAAAATGTAGGCAAAGAGAATGTTGTCTGTAGTGTCCTGGCTTCATCTAGCTGAAATCGAGAACAAATATAGTTAATTAAGCTTTAATTTAAAATTATATCAACTTTTGAAGCAGCTGTTTTAAAACGTCTTCTCATCTCTCTGAGCATGAAAGAGGATGTCAGAGGATTCCTGGGAACCTTAAGCTTTTTGTAACAGAGAGAAAGGCTGACATTTTGAAAGTAGTTACAGGGATTTAAACTTTTAATAAGACGAATGGAAATGATGCTGCTAAATCTCCTGAATGCCTCCTGAATGTTTTTAATTATGTGAGAAGGTGGTTTAGCAAAGGAATCCACATTCCTCCTCCAAGAGTCTATGCCAGTTCTGCAAGAACAAAACTTTTGGGTCTCAGACTGTCAAAAGAAAAAATTACTGCTTGAATAATGTAATTATTAATTAATGCCCATTATCCATATAATACCAGGAATACACATATGTGCAAATCAGTGCAACTAACTTGTGTGATCTCTAAAGGGCCTGCTTTGCTTCTGACTTGTACTGGCTTTCGCAGGTGTAGCTTTGAGACTAAAGTCACTGTCCCTGTGTGCTGTGCAGCAGCATAAGTCAGTGAGGGTGGTTTCGGGCAAAATTGAGCAGAAAAAGGAGTGGGAGCAGGCACAAGGTAGAGGAAGGAGAGTTACCAGTGTGGAGGAGGTGTGGAAAAGCAAGCACGGGAAAAAGGGTTTCTTTACCCCCTGATAACGGGAGCTTTCAGATGGGATCAGTCCAGGTCCCACACTTGCTCCAGGCCTTCTGTTTCAGTCTCACAACACTGAAAACTTCAAACAGCCATAATTATCCCCCACTCTGGGAGTACACTTAGAGCTTTCTAATCTTTTTAAACTTCCCCTGTTTGTTTTTTTGATCTTTCCTACCTGCTTCCTGGAGCAGAAAATACATTTAGTGAGCACTGGAGAAGGACCAGTTGTCTATGTGCATCCAAGTAAGATAAATTTCAGCAGTATCCAAGTTCTACAAGATGCTTCCCGAACTCTTCACCTCTCCAATCAGAGTGTCATCCCTGCATCCTTCAGGGCAAAGATGGTAAGTATCTGTGGGGCTGTTTTCCAATAAAAACTGACTGACAAGCAACCTGTGACTTGATTTTTATACGCAACATTTGAATATGACTATATGATTGAGAAAGGAATGTATTCTGTCACAGTGCAGTGAGAGGAGCCTGGTCTGGGGGCAGTTTTAGCTGGGGGACCACTCGGTAAAACAGAGAATTTGCATAGATGTTTGAGCAGAAATTAGTCTGGATCAGTGTTGCAAGTTCTCCCTTTATTTTGTGGAAGGTATTTAGCTCTAAGAGTCATGTGTTTGGAGCTCTGAGACCAAGGGAAAGGGCATGGGTTTCCGCACGGTTTCCCTGTTAGATATGCATTTGCTTTGTGTCGAACTGCTGTTAATGGTAGAGACTGGGGTGTGAGGTCTGGCCTCAAACTGCTCGAAGTGAGGTGAGTTTCACACCTGCTGGGGGTCAAGCCAGCTGGAGTGTTGCACAAGAATATACATGTAAGGGTGGTGTACCTACAGTGGAGTCTGTCGCATTGCAGAGCACCTCTGGAGACTGGCTGCAGAGAAAGGCTCTTGAATTCCTGGAGGCTGCGTAGGGTGAGAAGCTGCACAGCCCAGGGAGGGTGGGTTGCTCCCTGGCAGGGGGAGCAGGGCTGATGCAGCCAGCACAGGCTCATGTGCTGTGGCCGGGTGGGGTGTGCTCCCCACTGCAGGGGGGATCTGTGAGGGGCTTGAAAACAGGGTTCAGAGGAGGTTTGTTCTTTTCCATGCCAGGTGGGTCAGACTGGGCTGCTTAGCCCAGGCCTGGCACTGTGGACTGGGTGTTGTGGATGGAGCATCAGGCAGTGTGTGAGAGTACAGGCTCAGCCTCCTGGGCCGAGGACGGGGCTGAATTTCCCTCGTGCTGCTTTTCCAGTTGTTTGGGGGATAAATGTAGCCTCTAAGTGGGGGATTCTCAGGGCAGCTTGCTTTGATTCCACAAGGAAAACCTGCTTTCCTTCTCTGCAGAAAGCAAGCCACCTGGGGTGGGTGGTGCTGGTCTGTGAATGACGGGGTTTGCGTGCTCATAGCATGCCCTGACCCGCAGAGCTGCTCCAGCACTGTTGTCTGGCCTCACGCCTGCCCTCCCTCCCCGGGCAGCCTGGGTGTGCCTGGGGGACTCGCAGGGTGTATCTGCCTCTGCATTGCCTCAGGGCCCTAAGGCATGGGGCTGGGCAATAAATCCTGTCCTGCTTCACTGCCATCTCTGCAAATATTGTGGCTAATCAATAAATAGAACAATAATAGCAGGTGGGTCAGGGATGGTTTCTTGCCCTGCAGTAAGGGTGGGCTCTGCTGCTCCGTAGTCCCCCTTGTTTACCCCACAGGCTTGACTTACCCCACGGTGAGCATCTTGGCTTCTCAGAACAGCTGCTGCTCTCACGGGGGTGTTCAAGGGAGCAGGTCCCGAGAACCTTCTCAATCAGTCGTTTCAGGAAGGGCTCTTTAGACTCTTCATCCCCCTGATGCTGAGCTCCAGCTGCTCCCTGCCCCCAGCAGCTGCCTCCTTTGGTGCTGCTTTGCTGCCTCAGTTGAAGTTTTGCTCTTTGCTGCTGCCTTAGGCTGCCTGGTCATTTATTGAGGGGAAGAAGAGAGGACTGAATAATTTTGGAGATAAAATTTGAGATGCAATTGGGCATCAAGATGAACTGCACACGTACATCTGAGAGCAGAGGCAGTCCCTTAGCCTCGCTGGTGGGTGACTTGGGCATCCTGCATCCAGTTGTGCCCCTGAGCCCAAGTCTTGTGTTCTCTAAGACAGAAAAGCTGCTGCTTTGATTTGCTGCAGGACAGTGAGCTGTGATTTCCCTGTCCTCCCATTTGATGGCTGATCTCGAAACCGTGGCTGTTTGCAGTTAGGCTTAGAGATCACGGTACCTGCTCAAAGGAAGGAGCTATGATTGAAATTTTCACATCAGCATTGGATCAGCAATGTTACAGCACGCTGACTGGCAGCTCAATAAACCAAATGAGGTTAAGTTAAGGCACAGCAACAGGGCAAGTAAAAGGTTGGTATCTTGTTCAAAACAGGAAAGGAAAATGCTGTACTGCAGATGGCCATGGTGCCACCTTGGTGGTGGTATCAACCATCACATGCAAATTGCTTTCCTGTCAAGTCAAGATTTCTTCTTCCTCTATGGGAGAAAAGAGCATTATCTGAGCAAGCCAAGATGCTTTTTTGTGGATAACTTCACTTTGGGGTAGTGACTTAAGGAATTACCTGGAGTACCCCTTGTACACAGGCTTCCCCGTACCGTCTCCTTTCTGTTTGGATGAGTTGAGTCTGTTATATTCTGAGTTGTGGGGAGCAGCACTGAGCATCTCTGCCACCAGAAATAAATAAATAAATAACCTCCCAGTCTGTGCATTGAGATGGGGCTGTTTTGGGTTTGAAGAAGAGCACAGGGACTTCGTAGCCTTGTCCTCTGTTGGCTTATCCCTGTGTGCCAGGGTGTCTACAGATCTGTGACCCCTGGGACAAGTGTGTCAACCCGTGTTGAATCCTGTGTGTGTCTGATGTGCTTTTCCTTGTCAGATTGCTTTCCCAGCTGCCAGACAGCGCTGTTAGAAAATCCTCAAGGGGAGGGTTTGCGCCTTTTTGGGCATAAAGACTGGAGGAACACGTCAGCATGAATGGACTGCTGCAACTTAGCTGGGGACTGATGCGACCTGCTGAAAAAGATGGCAGTTTCTCCTCCTTGCTGCTGCTGTCATCTTCTTTCCCTAAGTGTCTGTTTTTTTTGCCATACTGGCAAGTGCAAAAGAGTTGTATTGGTTAATGGAAGTGTTTACTTTCCCTGCAGACAAGCAGAAAGGAAAAAGCATTGTTCTTTTATCATTTTCTACTTGTTCTTTGTCACTCTGTCTTCTTCAGGATCTTTTATTCAGCTACTAAGAATGACACCTCTTGGCACCACGGAAGGCAGATGCATATCATGCCTGTGTGATCAGGAAAGAAAAGACGGAGGTGTAATTTTTGTTACTCAGTGGCAGCTTTCTTCTGCCTGCATGGGTCTGTCAGGTGCTACCTTAGGGAGCCAAACGGTGGTCTCTCAGTCCCTTGTAATGAGGGAGGAGGGAGAAGACCTTTCTGGGGATTTCCTCTTCTTATGATAGTCCTAATTTGGGGTCCTGACTCCTTCGACCTGATCCTTGGCCTCCCTAATCCAGAGCCCTGTGCTGCTGGTGGAGCTCACTGCTGCCTGGTTTCCTGCAGCGGTCGTACAGCCAGATGTGTTGTCTTCTTCAGGAGGGTGCCTGGTGAGTTCCCTTTCACCTTCCCAGGGACGAGCTGCCCTCAGATTCATGTGAAGCTGTCATTGCAGAAGAGACCCAGGGTTTTTTATTAAAAAAAAAACCAAAACAAAAAAACAACTGTAACTGTTTATCTTCTCCCTGGGATTCACTGAAGGAAAGTCAATTGATTTTCAGGCAGTGCATAAAGGCTTATGGTCAAACATGATGTAAGCAAGGGGAGAACACACAGTTCCCATTCCTGTACTTGCTTCTCTCCTTATTAGTGCAGGATTTGTTTCATTTACTAATTTCATTGTTTACTATCTCAAGCTTTTGACAACATTCCCTTTATTAAAGAAATGGTCATATGGAGAGACGGCAAAACAGTGCCAGTAAAGGGATGCTGCTTTAGTGATTCTGTTCCTGTTCTGGCTGGTGGGCAGTTTTGCTGATATCCAAGCGAATTGTTAAGGCTGTGGGGAGGGAAGGCTTTGAAGAGCATGTTGACATTGTCTGTAGCTCTCTCCAACTGAATTTGGAGCAGACTTGAATTGGCAAGAGGGGCTGGCTTTTAAATCTACTGGAATTTGCTTTCCCCCCCCTGCCCCAAGCATCTGAATAATTAGCTGGCCTGTCAGTGTTTGCTCATAGCAAGACACAGACAGACAGACAGTGCTGTGCCCTTCAAATGATATCTTCAATGCTATTTAGAAATGAGTGTTAAATTAACTTTCCAGGATATGGGCAGCACTGGCCCTGAATATGTGGTTTCTTCCAAGGTGAGCAAAACTTGAAGATACACAGGCTTAACTCTTTGCAGAGCTGTCCCACCAGAGCCTCATGGTGCTTCAAAAGCTCACCTTTAGGCTTAAACCATTAGTTTAGGTTTTAAAGGCCATGTTTTGCTAATACAGCAGTACCAATTTGCTGATTTCCACCCAGTTTGGTCTTGACAGAGCTGGAGGGAACAATTCACTGTAGCCAACTGTGCCTGGAAACACACGGCATCAGTCATGAGCAGGGGTCGTGTCATCTGTCTTGCCCTGGTGACTGGTTGTACCAAAACCTGAGGAAGGTGGAAGGCTATGTCCCTCCCAGCTTTCCCAGGCTTAGGTCCAGCAGGCTTAAGTCCAGAGCATGTGGCTCTCAGAAAGGGGAGCAGAGGTGTGGAGGAGACCTTGGAAAAGGTGCCTGAAACCTGGCCACAGGGAAGAGTTTGGTTTTTATCACATAAGGTATCTTATATGAGTTTACGTCCTTTCAGAATTGCTGTTTTTCAGTAATGGAAGAAATTGTTATTCTGCTTGTCTAAGGAAACTAAACTTGTCGTGTCATGCTGCACTTTTTGGTTAACTGAATTAAAGAAGGGTAGAATCTTCAAGGCAATTATGCTCCTGCAAGCAAGAGTGACTCAGCCAGGTGCTTTTCCCAGAGGAAAAGTAGGAGGGGTTTGGTTATCAAACGAGGTGGCCCTGATCTCCCCAGCCCAGCGAGTAAGCGCAGATGGGATCTGGAGGGGTGAGCTATGGACCAGGGACACAAATCGAGACAAGCTTTGTTAGCTCACTCAGCAGTCTGCTATTGGCTGAACCAAGCTTGACAAGTTAGGCTCTGTTGTCAGTGGCAGTGAGCGCCACACTACTTTTTTTTAAGAACCTCTGCCTTTTGATTTCATACAAGATCCCCTTGATGGTGCTCTGGGGAAGAGGCTAAACCGAAGTGGTCCCCATCCGTGCTTTTGCCGAGGAGATGCTGGTGCTGAGGTGCCAGGAGGTGGCTGGTGGTTGGGGAGAGCATCTAGCCAGCCTCATGCCCTGACCTCCACCTCCTGCTGGGGCTTGGGGTGGTCTGGAGCTCTCTTCTGCCACTGGCAGTTTGTGTGGATAAAGAGTAGCTTCGAAATGAAGAACGCAGGGTCCCCCACCTCAGGACTGCTGAAACACCTGGGATGGATGAGGCTCTGTGCACAACTGATGTAGGATGGGGATTTATTTCCCCTTCATGTGCAGCCTCCATGAGGAGCGATGGGTTGGCAGGCCAAGGTGTGAATGCTCTCTCGCTAGAGCTGTGGCTTGGTAAAGTACAGTTGCATTTTTAAGACTGAGTTGTTCTCCCTCTATCACTCATGCAAAGCCAGAATGATCAGATCACTTTTATTAACTAGCTTTAAGTAGCTTCAGGAGAACTGAGTGTGGTGGCTCCTCAGTCATTGTAAGAGTTGGTCAGAAGATCAGCATTGTCTCACCGTTGTCACCAGTGACATGGACATTGAGGTACCTGACAACGGCCTGCTCGGAACAGTTGCCGATCCCTGGAGTGGAATGTGGTGCCAAGGCTCCTGAATGCAGAACTGTGTGACACAGCGAGTGCTGTGCTGTTCTCCTGAGGTGTTCTGTCCTGTGGGGTGCAGGCAGTGCTGGGATGTTCTTCGGTGCCTGAGCCGTGCAGTACAAAGAGTGCTGGGATATTGTTTGGTACCTGGGCCAAGCCAGAGCTGTTAGAGGTAATCGTGTAGACACTGTCAGAAAAGATGGATCACAACTGTTGCCGTAACATCAATGAAGAAATCATGAACCTTAGACAAACTTTGCTTCATTCTAATACCAAAACACACCTCCTGGTGGAAGGCTGCCTGCCTCCAAGACTGACCATGCCTTGGACGCTCCCCCCTGCGCATGTGTGATGGCCTCGCTCGGGAAGTGCGGACACCCCTGAGGCAGAGGTGGAGCAAGGTGTGTTACTGAGCATATAAGGATGACTTCTGGACAACGAAAATTGGAAGCTTCCCCACCAAGGACCACGACGATTGACGACGCAGCATGAGCTGGACCTGGGACCGTTAGGACATCGTGAGATCAGCGGTGGCAGCTATAACCTCTCTCCCTCCTTTCTAAACTTAGTTTTACTTTTCCCTTTTCTTTCACCCATCTCTAACTATCACGTGCCGCTTCACGGGCAAAACAATAAAGTTTCACTGTTTGATTACTGCTGTCCCCTTTGGTGTTGGTCACCTTAATTTTGCACTTTCGAGATCGTAGCAAAAGAACCATCATGAGTCCACCGAGTGGACTGTGACAGTCATCCCTTAGGGCAGCCATCCCTCCCTCCCTCCCATCCCATCCCATCCCATCCCATCCCATCCCATCCCAT